TCACACCTAGAACCCTTTTCAAAGAAGCAAACTGTGAGAGCATGGTCTATCGATCCTTTAGCGTTTCAGGACTTAAAGCTAGAGGTGTAAGAAAAATTACCATAGGGATAACTGGCTTGTGGCAGCCATGTCGGCTTTTCCTACCATTGTGAAGTAGAATTCACCAAGTGTTGGATTGTTCACCCACCAACAAGGAACGTGAGCTGGGTTTAGACCGTCGTGAGACAGGTTAGGTGTCTCCCTTACCTGCCTCTCGGCGATCTTGCCCACTCGCCTCGTCGCTTGTTGGGGTGAGTCTTGGAGCTCGACCCTTGCATCAGTGTGGATGTGGAAAGCACGGGAGAACCGTATAATGAAAGTGTTTTACGACTACTTCTAGTTCAACGTGTGAAAGGACTTGCTCTCAAGGTTTAGGGTGGAAGTAGTAAATATGTCGAGAGCAAGTCCTACCCCTTCCGTCCTGGAAGGGGACGAAAGGACTTGCTTTCAAGGATTAGGGTGGAAGCAGCAAATTTGTCGAGAGCAAGTCCCACCCCTTCCGTCCTGGAAGGGAAAAGTTGTGTAGATGTAGTTTCTTAAACGAATCAGGTCCTCGACAGGAGGCTTGGCCATGCTTGGCATTCCTCCTCCGTACGACCTGAACATCTGCACAACTCATCTGACTCGTATAGGTCCTTATGATGAAAGATACCAGCGGTCTTTTGCCATTGAGCGACGCAATGGTGATCCAAGTGTTGGGAAATCGGACGGTTGCAACGGTGGGTGGGTTGCAACGGTGGGTGCATTCGGGAGGGTAAGGCTGAACTGGCTCGCGAACCTCGTTGGCCCCGACCTTCAAACCCGCTGGAAACGTCCGTCGCAAGGGAGCGGCAACTGCGAAATTCGAATTGAAAAATTTGGGTTTGGCCTTACTTGTTCACCCACCAACAGGGAATGTAAGCTGGGTTTAGACTGTCGTGAGATAGGTTAGTTTTACCCTACTGATGCACCGTCGTCGCAATGGTAATCCAACCCAGTACGAGAGGAACCGTTGGTTCRCACAATTGGCAATTGTGCTTGGCTGAAAAGTCAGCGGTGCAAAGATATCGTGCGCGGGATTATGACTGAACGCCTCTAAGTCAGAATCTGTGCTTGCAGCGACGGCGTATGCCTCCTCGGATGACACAAGGCTGTCGATAGGGCCAGCCGGTCTGGCCCCGAAAGCATAAGTTCGGAGTTGTCCCTCCTGCGGCGGAGCACCGACGCCCTGGGAGTCTCTTCATCGCAATTTGTTTCGCTCGGGGAGTCAAACCCTTTGTAGACGACTTAGATAGGGAACCGGGTGCTGTAAGCAGTAGAGTGGCCTTRTCGTCACGATCTGTTGAGATTCGGCCCTTTGTTCCAAAACTTTCCCCCACCTTTTGGCTCCCCACCCCTCCTCAAATGATTGAACGACGATCATCTGCATCTGAAGAGAGTCGTCGCCCTTGTATAGGGGCCGATGAGCTGCTTGCTTTTTTTTTTTTTTTCACTTTTTTTTTCCAGTTTTGCTGCTTCCTTCTGAAGCCCCTTTCGCCCGATGTGGTACGCGGCTTTTGGCTCAAAGGAGAACTGTGCCCGAGCCCATGTTGGGGTGGGTGCCACATTGTAAGCTTTTGGCCACTACGACACGCAATTTGTTCGAAAACGTGGATATGTGTCCGCGTGTCTTCCTGTACTTGACCCGGTGGGCGTTTGTGCATGCCACATTGTCCGATGTCGCCCCATACATACGGCCTGCCACTTTTGGCTACACGGAGACCTGGGACCAATGGTTGGGTCGACGTGAGGGCCACATTGTACACTTACACACGATGTGGCGGGCGACCTCTGTTTCAGTAAAAAAAAAAATGTTATTCTTCAAGTATTCAAACAAAATACAAATGTGTACTATGTACATACGTCTATAATATTATTTATATATCTTTTTTTTAATTTTTTATTTTTTTTATTCTATTTGATTCACCTTTCTTTCATGATGAAAACAAAATTCTGAATCTTCTCATTCTATAGATAAAACTTTGCTCAAGCAAGTACTCAATCAATTCAACGGAAGATTTTTAGTAGAGGAGGAGAGACGGAGGGTGTCTGGCCCCCCCTACGTACAAGCGTAATCGTGGTGGGGGCGCGCGAAGCATGCCCCTGGTGTTCAGGACCTAGAAAGCCAATTCTCACCCTATCTGGCCCTCCCCATGTGTGTGCGTAATATCATGGTTTGGTAACAAAATACCCATCTCTTGCCCTACGTGGCCCTCACCACGTGACTGCGTAGTCATGATTTTGGTGGGGCCACGTGTCCCCCAGCCTTGGGAACAGAAAGGCCACTTCCTGCCCCTAGTGCGGATAAGGGGAATCCGACTGTTTAATTAAAACAAAGCATTGCGAAGCCCTTTAAATAAAATATTATTTTTTGCGAACTTGCATAAATGATCTGTCTTCCAGTGAAAACATAGAAGGGAACAATTTTGGCCAATCATCCATTTTGGCGAACGACTCATATCGATCCTTCAACGACAAACAACGTCGAAGCACATAGGTCAAACACACATACATTTTGGCGATGGCACAATTGATGATCATTTTGCCGAAGTTGCAATTATGAACAAAATTTATTTTTTGTTGACAACACAAAAGGTAATCATTTTGGAAAATTTGTAGACATGAACGGTCTTATCACACATGTATGGCATCCAAAGTGCGAATATGTTCGCATTTGTCATACGGAACAATTGTCAGCATTCAGTGGAGAGCACGAGATGTATTCTGGCGATAACAAAATTGGTAATAATTTAGTGCACCGCTGAATTTTCTGGAGTTCGTAAAACAACTTCAAGCACACATACATTCTGGCGATAATTGCTTTCCGAATTGAGAATAAGTTTGCAATTGTCATATGGAAACCAACAGTCGGCATTTAGTGAAGACAAGAAGGATGGTGGTTGCGGGGAGGGGGGCACAGCAGAGGGGGTGAACCGAAAAATGGGGCAGTACGCGCAGAATAGGGGCGAGTGAAAATATGTGAAAGTTAGGCGGTCGGGGTGGGAGGGGGAGGCGGGCTTTCACACCAGGAAGTCTCGCGTAAGAAAGAGATAAGCACGAAATAATTTTGCGACCAAGAAGAAATCATTGACATCTTTCACCAACATCTTGCTTAATGAACCAAAGTATCGAGTCCTACAAGCATGAGCGTAAAGAATGTCCACAAGAGGACAAAGATGTCCCATGAGTAACACATCAGCACAAGCTGGAAACGAATAAAGGCAGCACGACGCTGTCGTGGTCGTAAAGGACATAAGAAGAACAACCCAAAAACAAACAAAGGCAACACAAAGTTGGGATATTCACATCCGATATCTAAGCGTCTACTTAAAAGATATTGCACCACGTGGCTGAAATATTTACATCGACATCCAAGTTTCTACTTCACCTAAGCATCCGCTGCAACCCTCTAGCTGATGTTGCGCGGCAAGGAATGAGAATGACCTAAAAACAAACAGAGGCACCACGGTGCTGCAGAAAGTCATACGAGTAAAGTTGACAGGTTCCTCGAAATGAAGAACCCTTAAAAAAAATACTACAGCACGAGGCTGGGATATTCACATCGACACCTAAGCGTTTACTTGATCAAACGTCCACTGCAATCCTCTACCTCATCAAAACAACAGCACAGCTCGAACCAGCCGACTGCTAGACTAAGTGGGAATAGATTCCCACTTCTGCTTATGACCTTGCGAATAAAAAACTTCACGTATTTTCAAAATAGGGGTATTATTCTGAGCCTTGGAGTATGCTCACCGCAATCCTCAGTGTTTGGAATGTCGCTTTGGGCTATCGGAAATGGTGGCGGATGGCCGCGTGCAATAAAAGAAGCAAAGGCGAGCATGAAAACACCGCAGCTCAACCCGTCCGACTGTTGAGGGGCACCATGAATCCACCTTGGGCTCCGGGAGATCCAGTTTCGCGTTTTGACCATATTGACTAACTGCTTCGTCACGGAGGTATTTCGTGAAGTTTGCAAGCAGATCGGAAGAAAAACCGCCATCGTCTTGTAGGAGGGAGTCGTAGTACTCAAGTCATCCTTCGTGGACACATAATAGGGTCCAATGCACTTGATTTTTATGAACAGGAATCAATACCATGTCGTACGAGAAAATATTCACATCTTTTGTCCATCTCGCGACCCTATCATATCGACATCCGCCACCGACGAGCTTGGTATAGAAAAACGGACTGAAAATGTAAACAGAGGGACACCCAAGCAACGTAGCGTTGCCAAGCAAGGCCAAGTACAACTCCACCACCTCGTCGGAAAGCCATCCCCCCTGGACAAGAGTCTGAAGATTTTTTTTGCTCAACAGAGTAGATTTGGCCCCTTCGCGAATTGAGGAAACCACCTCGTGGCCGTTGCTGAAATCTCCGCAGACATCTCGCAGAAATCCCCGAATTTTGAATGTGTCCTTAGCGATGTACTTAGGATACGGGTCTTTGAAGATACCCCGTTTGGCATCGTCATCAGACCCATCAGACAAAGCAGTAACGCTTTCAATAGACACAGCCACATGTTTCTGCAAAGCTTCCTACTTATCTATTCCACAAACCTTCACAACCCTAACAACTCTCTGGGAAAAGCGAGGCATCTGGACCCTTTTAAACAACCCTACACTTGACGACGACTTCTTCGGTAAAGCGGCCAGTGACCTCCCTGAAAAGCATTTCCCGCGCATGGCTTTTGAAGGCTTCATGGGCAGGGACATGGACAACCTCACACCTGTAAAACATAGAAAACAACCCACAACCCACAAGTTTGTTTTTAACAAGTGGTAATAGCTAGATGAGCCCATCACATCAATTTGGATGAACACCGAGCTGGCTAGTGACAGATATGCGAGTGCTACTATTCACCAGTCTTACCGTGCTCGGGAGTCCTTCGAGGTAAATCGCCCTCCTGTCGCGCCACTGTGCCAACGTCCACGAAGGATTCGACGTTCTGCACCTCGGCCACGGCTGAGTCGCTAACCAGCTCGGTGGCAGCTGAGTCGCTACCCATGAAGTACCATTTCCCGACCGGTACTGAGGACAGATGCTCGATCACCTTGTTCTTCACCGCAACGGGTGGACGGAGAATCATGATCTTTCTGCTCTGGATCCATCTGGATGCCAATCGCCACCTCACCACCTTCCACCACGGGTTCTTCGCTTTTCTCATCGCCATGAACCCGAGCTTCCACTACGGGTTCTTCTTCGCCTTCCTCATCGCCAAGAAGCCGAGCTTCCACGAACGTCCACGTACGTCCTTCCTCCCCACGGTCATTGCCTTCCACAAACGTCCACTGACCTCCCTTAACGTCATCCTCTTGCGTCGTCGCCACAACCGACCGACTGTACAGAACCTCTTTGGACGTCCCGGTCACCAACACTCCTGCGTCGAGCCCCTTCATCACTTCGCGAGCCGGCCAGTGTTGAGTCTCCTCTTCCCGCTGCAGAGCATGCACTTCTTGTGAGAGTTCCTCTTCCCCTGGAGCTGCTGTACTCTTGCTCTCCGAGTCGACGGATGCACCCTCCGAAGCTTGACGTTCATGGTCGCTAGCCCCAGTCTCCAACACTCCTGCATCGAGCCCCTTCAGCACTTCGCGAACTGGTCTGTGTTGAGTCTCCTCTTCCCGCTACAGAGCATGCGCTTCTTGTGAGAGTTCCTCTACCCCTGGAGCTGCTGTACTCTTGCTCTCCGAAATTCCGAATCGACGGATGCACCCTGCGAAGCTTGACGTTCGTGCTCGCTAGCCCCAGTCTCCAACACTCCTGCATCGAGGCCCTTCAACACTTCGCAAGCCGGCCAGTGTTGAGTCTCCTCTTCCCGCTGCAGAGCATCATGCGCTTCCTGTGAGGGTTCCTCTTCCCCCGGAGCTGTTGTACTCTTGCTCTCAGAGTCGACGGACGCAACCTCCGAAGCAGGATGTCCATACTTGCTAGCCCTGGTCTCCAACACTCTGCGAAACTGCCAGTGTTGAGTCTCCTCTTCCCGCTGTACAGCATGCGCTCCCGGTGAGAGCTCCTCTTCCCCAGGAACTGCTGTACTCTTGGTCTAAAAGTCGACGGATACACCCTCCGAAGCATGACGTTCATACTCGCTACCCCCGGTCTCCAACACTCCTGCAGCGGGCCCCTCCAACACTTTGCGACACTGCCAGTCTTGAGTCTCAACATATGAGAACGACGGTGAGCAGGGGAACACTGTGCCCAACTGAAGATGCGAGGGGTTGGACCTCACATTTTCTTGGCCCCGTGGAACTGTAGCGTGAGGAGCACTGCTGCCGGAAGCCCTGCAGGGCGACATCAGTAACTCCGAATCTATTCGGACTTTGCGGCGAGCACTGCTGGCGAAAGGCCCGCAGAGCGTTGTCAGTAACTCCGAATCTATTCGGAGTTTGCGGCGCTCGTCGGAGCTGAGCGAACTGACGGTCGCACTTTCACGCCTTTGCAATGCAGGCATCCCGGCGTTCAGGCAAAACGAAGACGCACTTCCTGCCAAGGAATGGTTTTGCCGCTCAGGAGATACTGCCGTATGCTGCAGACATTCACCCTCTTCCAAGAGGTGTAGGAGCAAGCTGTTGTCCACAGGAGACGTCGGTTGTGTACGGTGGGACAGACTCTCCTCGACATCGGGAAACAAAATCCTCGCAGACAAGTGCGAATCTACTCGCACTTGATAAGACTTCAAGGAGGCCTCGTCTCGCATGTCGGAATCTCGACTCTTTGCGGTGTCTATCAGTTTCCCTAGACTCGCGACTCCCGAACGCTCTACGCTTTCCGCCCGACCCCTTTCCGCCTGACCCCTTCCCGCCCGACCCCTTTCCGCCCGACCCCTTTCCACCCGACCCCTTTCTGCCCGACCCCTTTCCGCCTGACCCCTTTCCAGCAGATCGTGAGCCGTCTCCTCCCTCACCTCCTCCAACAGATCCTGAGCCGTCTCCTCCGTCACCTCCTCCATGAGATCCTGAGTCGTCTCCTCTGTCACCTCCGCCGTCTCCTTCGTCTCCTCCTCCACCGCCTCTCGGATGCTGACCACCCATCGGAGGTTGCGGCATGCACTAGTCAATTCCACGAGAAGGTGCCGTTTCGGGTGTGTAGAAAGGCGCTCGAAATTGCAACATTTTGTTGTCGTACAGCTCGTCGAGCTTCTGGCCTACATACGCATTGACGTCCAGCAGGCTCTTGTCAGGGTTCATCACACTCACATTTTCTTCGCCCCGCGGAACTGTAGCGGTAGGAGCACTGCTGGCGGAAGCCTTGCAAGGCGACATCAGTAACTCCGAATCTATTCGGACTTTGCGGCGAGCACTGCTGGCGGAAGGCCCGCAAAGCGACGTCAGTAACTCCGAATCTATTCGGAGTTTGAGGCGCTCGTCGGAGCTGAGCGAACTGACGGTCGCACTTTCACGCCTTTGCAATGAAGGCATCCCAGCCTCCAGGCAAAACGAAGACGCACTTCCTGCCAAGGAATGGTTTTGCGGCTCAGGAGATACTGCCGTATGCTGCAGACGTTCACCCTCTTCCAAGAGGTGCAGGAGCAAGGTGTTGTGCACAGGAGACGTCGGTTGTGTACGGTGGGACAGACTTTCCTCGACATCGGGAAACAAAATCCTCGCAGACAAGTGCGAATCTACTCGCACTTGATAAGACTTCAAGGCGGCCTCGTCTCGCATGTCGGAATCTCGACTCCCTGCGGTGTCTATCAGTTTCCCTAGACTCGCGACTCCCGAACGCTCTATGCTTTCCGCCCGACCCCTTTCCGCCCAACCCCTTCCCGCTCGACCCCTTTCCGCCCGACCCCTTTCCACCCGACCCCTTTCTGCCCGACCCCTTTCCGCCTGACCCCTTTCCAGCAGATCGTGAGCCGTCTCCTCCCTAACCTCCTCCAACAGATCCTGAGCCGTCTCCTCTGTCACCTCCTCCATGAGATCCTGAGTCGTCTCCTCCGTCACCTCCGTCGTCTCCTCCGTCTCCTCCTCCACCGCCTCTCGGATGCTGACCACCCGCAGGAGGTTGCGGCATGCACTAGTCAATTCCACGAGACGGTGCCGTTTCGAGTGTGTAGAAAGGCGCTCAAAATTGCAACATTTTGTTGTCGTACAGCTCGTCGAGCTTCTGGCCTGCATAAGCATTGACGTCCAGCAGGCTCCTGTCAGGGTTCATCACACTCAGACACTCCACCGAAGTTTCTCTCACCTTTTTCTTAAATGGACGCGCTCCCAGTCTGTTCAGGCCAGTCCACTTGCCATCGGCTTCCTTTATTGCTATGACCCACTTTCCATTCTTTACAACAGGTTGGAATTTCCTGGGGTGCCAGACGACGTTGTGGCCCCAGACATCCTCCATTGTGAACCGGTGGTGCTTCCCGCAGAAGAAGAGCCTGTCATTCTCCCAGGTTTCATGGTCCTTAGGGAGCTTGTCACCAGGTTCGTACTCATAGTCTCTCTCTTCTTCCTCGTCATCAGACGATTGGTCCTCGACTGTTTCGCGCTCAAACACACGCTTCAAACCGGCAGGGGACGCGCTATATCTCCAAGAAACACCTTCCCCTTCATCATCAACCTGTGCAACCACCCGAGGAAGTGGCATGGACTCGAAATCGAAGGTTTCGGAGTCGCTCAACTCCTCCATGTCTTCAGCGTCGAAAGGGTTCTCCTCGTCAAACTGCGCCTTGTAGTTTTCGAGGGTCAGCGGCTCGACCATCAAGAAGAAAATGTGTTCCATCCTTTTCAGGAAATTTGAGACAGACTCCCTGGGTGCATCGTGGTAATCATTCAGCACACCGAACACCAGGTTTCTCTGTCGATTGTATTCCAGGTCGGTCTGAGCAGGCGGTCCTGGTTGGAAAAGGAAGTCCCAAACCTCCGTCATTTTGTTCCCCGACAATTTCCAATACATGTCACGTTTAGGATCCCAGTTCCGTTCGCCGGTGGTCTGGACAAAAGAGCAATGGTGGCGAGGGTCCCCCACGCATGTCTTAACGAACTCGTTAAGGTAATCAATCATCCTCGCCTCGTTCTCTAACGCAATGACGTTCCGACCGCTGCGCAGGAGCTCCCCCACGAAAGACGCATGCGCCTTCCCAAAGAAAAAAACAGTTTGCCCAACTCTGCAAAAGTTTTCGAGCAGACTAATTAGATGAGCCGGGTTGCGCTCCCTGTCCTCGAAAGTAGCTCCACGAACACTTGTCACGCCGCCGTCCTCCCACTGGCTACGAGGGAACTTGTGCTCGTCTGCCACGTCGAAACATGCCACAACCTGTCCTGATGGGTCGGATCAACAGGCAGCATTCGAGCGGGCCGCCGCTGAGGGTTTGGCCGGACTTGGAGCATGAGCACGGGGAGGCTTCGTTGGACTACTGGCCGGGAAGACTCGTTCTGCCAGGTTCTCGCCATTGAAAACCACGTACACACGATCATACTCCTCAACCAGCATATTGCCTTCCCGGACAGTGGTCTGCCTTTGTGCATGGCGCACCTACTTCCCTGTCCCGACGTGATGGACGCTAACCTTGGTCATGCCTTTCAAGAAACTGATCTCCCAGCGAGAGGGAAAGAAGACCACAAGTGCCAGTGCCTTGGCGATAGGGTTTGAAGAACGCCTTGCAAGGAGGCGAAATCGTCTTCTTGCCAGTCTGAGAGGAGTGTAGGATCACACAAATCGAGGACGTGCGAGTTGCATACGTAATGTCGCACAATCTCGCGGATCTCAGTGAGACGACTGTGAGCTTGGGAAGGCGGACAACCGAAAGGAGTAAGGCTGGTCACCCGGTTGAGCTTGTGCCATTTGATGTGCCTCACATCCCTGCTGACCCTGATCGTCTCTTGGACTTCTTCCTCCCTTCGTCGCAAGATGGAACAGACGGACTTCTCGAAAGATTTAGGGAACCTGTCATCATCGTACATTCTCTTCGTTTCGTCCAGGGACTCCTTCTCGTACGGAAGAGTACGTTTGCAAGTGTTCACGTACTCCACCGCGCCTTGGAAATGCTTTCGCAGTTCGACCCACACCTGCTTCGTGAGGCCGTGCGGCCCGAACTCCGCCACAAGCTGCCCCTCGGTCCGAAAAAAAGGGTTCCCGTACCGCCAAACCTCTGCGTCCTCCTCCGATTTAAGGAACAAGATGTAGTGAAACATGCGGAGCATCATGCGGTCTACTTTCCTCGCCGCGACCATGTTTTTAATTCCAGGCTTATGTTAACGTTTCAGATGCCCGCCCGCCAATTGCACGAACACTCCCCTCAGCGCGAGAATGTCGTCGAGGATCGACAATTTTTCGGCATCGGTCATGTCTGCGAGAAACTGCCGACAGAACATGTCTGGCTCCTTCACGACAACGAAAAACTTGTCGTCCAATTGCGTTTTTTTTTTGGTGGGAGGCGGCGAGACCCGGACCAGCCACCCCATCTTCGTTTCACCAACTGCCCCTTTCGCGCCCATTTCCAGAATCGCTTGAAGACCTAGAGATTTATCCGGCATGTATTTGCCCGGCTTCGACAAGGGCGTCTTCCCGTCTCCGCCCAACAACTTTCCCTCGGCCCATTTGTCGTAGAACTCCATGCCTTTGCGGAAAACGTCATCACCGACCGTCACGAGCGACATAACGCCGGCATTCATTGCCTCAATGCATTGCCAATGGCAGCGATGTGGTCCTTGTCGGCGAGCGTTGTCGCTTTACTTGCCATCGTGCAGTGAGCCCCGTTCGGACTCTTTCCCAAAAGCAGCTTTTGAAACTCGAAAAACGCTTGTTTTTCGGCCTCCTTACTGGAAAAGTTCCCTTGAATGGCCACCGACCTTCCTTGATTCTCCCATGCCTCTCGCATGTCCTCGAAAGCGGCCTTCTATGCACCCTACTTAGACATCTTGTGTCTTGTGTTCTCCGTGAGATTGACCTGCAAGTACCCTCCAAAATCTTCGTCGGAGAACCACACGACTCTCGCCGGCCACGAGTGCATCTTCCACAATTCGAATATTTGCTCACCGTCCAACTCCTTCACAGCAGCCACGGTGTGTTGTCCGTTGATAGGGTAATAGAAGTACTTGTCCTTGTCCTCTGACTTGAAGACATCCTTGTAAACACTCTCAGCTCTCTCCGGCTTATGCCTCACCAGCTTGTAGATGGGTGCCAGAACCAAAGGGTTTTTCGTCAAGATCTTCCCCTTTTCATCGTGGAACTGCCTTAGCATCGCACACTTGATGTCCTCCACACCATCGCGAGTGAGACTGCGGTGATCGTAATATCTTTCCCACGGCGGGATGTCGCAGACCTTCTTGCGGTCGATGAAAAGTTGAATGGGGGACTCCTTCTCCACGATCTCACCGTCATTGTTCCGCTCGCATTCAAGCCAAAACGCTGCCGCTTCATCGTACTGCCTATCGACAACCCTTTCGCCACCACTCGTCCCCTCAGCAGTCTTCCTCCTCCGAGGTTTTTTCTGGCCATCGCCTTCTTCAGATGCCAGTTTCCTTTTGGATTTCTCTGAAGGTTCTCTCGCGGCGGCAATGCCTAGACGAGCCGAATCTCTTTCACGCATAGCTTGTCCTTCGCAGATGGTCAAGCTGTCGGGCCTCCTCGCGTTCTTAGTTGTTGTTGCACCCTCTTCCTTCGACTGCCTCTTTTTGACTCCTTGTTCTTGTCCGCCACGCATCCCTTGCATCCTCTTTCCCGAGGCACGTTCTCTGACGTCACCTTCGTGCCCGCTAATCATCGGCTCCGAGTGTCCTATCATCCTCTTCATGCGTCGGGTTTGTTTCGCCACCTCTTCTCGCACCGTCTTCTGTCGCTCGCGCTTCTTTTCCGAAGAAGTCGACTCCCCGCTAGAGTTGTCGCACACAGCGCCCATCCCTTCAGCCTCATTCCTTCCAACCTCTTGCCTTGATCTGCCGGATTGTCTTCTCGTCTCATCTCGAAGCGAATACGTATCGCCCTGGCAGACGACCTTGAGGATTTTCGGAGTACCGACCCGGTGAGTCCATGCATCTGGAGAATGCAAGCCAGACGTGTTCCAGGAGCATCCCGGCCGACCTGCGTTTGAATGCTACGCGAGTGCCCCTTGCCCTGACCCCTAGCGCCGTGAATCACACTCCCGTGCCCCACTGGCGTCACAAGGGGTTTCTTGAGCCAAGCTGGATGACCCCTCATGGGCTGGTAGAAGCTGGAAAACATATTCTCGTGGAAGAACCGGACGGTCTTTCGGCACCTTCAGCACGAATCGAGATATTCCACTGGCGGGGGAAGACGCCTGCTGTTGCCATTGTAAAACCCTTTGAAGTGACGGCAAAGTAGCATGTTCGAGCCATACCCCGCGAAACTCTTGATCGACACTATCACACCCTTAACACCTTTGTAAGGCAGTCTGCAGTGGTCGTATAAGATGTTAGTGTGCAGCTTGAGCAAGCCTCTAGACGGTTTGTCGAACGAGACGATGGTACCGAGAGGAAGAACGTCGACTGGTCCCTCAGCGTCTGGAAAGCAAGTGGGTCGCATGAAAACAGCTGGCCCAACAAGGTTCCCCTCAACAACGAAGTCCAAAAACCATTGTGCATCCCTTGTATGGAAATACTGAGGAGTAGATTGCTAAAGAGGTTGTCCCTCCCCGGGGGCAGACGGCCCACCGCTTGTCGATGTGTTCTTCTCGGACGCCATTTTACTCCCCGGGCGGAGTTTTCCTAAGAGTACAGAACCAAAGTACGAACTAACTTGGAGTTGACAAAATGGAGGACCAAAACGACGTAAGAGATGGGTGTTTGAAATACACACGAAGTCACAACAATTGGGTAAAGGAGATGAAAGACAACACCCCTCTGGCAGAGTGAGTTCGGAGGAAAGATAACAACTCCTCGGAAAGAGTGCGAACCAACTCGCTGTCCTAGAAACAAGGAAGAGGCGGTTTATCTTCGGGAAAGTGCGAACTAACTCGGAGTTCTGGGAATGGAGACCTCTACAACAAGTACCACATGGGCATCGACAAGTGGGAACCAACTCGCAATTCTGGAGACAAGACAAAACGACGTACGAGATGGGTGTTTGAAATGCACACGAAGTCACAACAATTGGGTGAAGGAGAGGAAAGACAATACTCCTCTGGCAGAGTGAGCTCGGAGGAAAGATAACAACTCCTCGAAAAGAGTGCGAACCAACTCACTGTCATAGAAACGAGGAAGAGGCGGTTTATCTTCCGGAAAGTGCGAACTAACTCGGAGTTCTGGGAATGAAGACCTCTACAACAAGTACCGCATGGGTATCGACAAGTGCGAAGTAACTCGCAGTTCTGGAGACAAGACAACAATTCCAACTTGCAGTTCTGGAAACGAGAAAGTCAAGTTTAAGAAAGAGGCGGCTTATCTTGGGGAAAGTGTGAACTTACTCGAAGTTCTCAAAATGAAGACCTGAAACACGTACGACAAGGGTGTCTACAAGTGTGAACTAACTCCGACTCGGAGTTTTGGATACGGAGGGCAACAACTCCTCCAACAGTGTACGTCATAAAGTGCGAACTAACTCGTAATTGTGGAAATAAAGAACCGACTTTTCGAGAACTTAAGGCAGCTCTGATTTCGAGAACTTAAGGCAGCTCATAATGAGGACCGCTTACAAACTTGCTAAAAAAGGATCAGCCGTTGATATGGACCCCGCAGTGCGATCAGGGTTTTCGAGAACTTAAGGCAGCTCTGATCTCGATCCCGGTCCTTATAAGACCGCACCCGTAAAAGCCCTTTGTTCTCATCACCGATTGGCAGCCCGAGGAGATTTCAAGGATCTTGGCCCGATTTGAACCTGATGACCTGGAACACGTGGTGAAATATGCGTCTAAATCGGTGCCTGCATGCGAGAGGAACTACTCCGCTCCAACAGGGGAATGCTACGCCACCTTGTGGGGAATCAGTCACTTCCGAGCTTACTTATATGGTCGGAAGTTCACATTGGTAACTGATCATTAACCACTGTTGGCCCTGAAGAAGTCCAAGGACTATTCGGGCATGATCGGGCGATGGGCTACCACGTTGAAGAACATGGACTTTGACATCCGTCATCGGAAACACGAGAAACACGGCAACGCGGACGGGCTGCATCGACCTGACATACCCAAGAACGAGAAAGTGACGTCGTGGCGTGACCTGGAATCAAAGGATGAACCCCAATACGGTGAGGTGAAAATCCTTCAGAAGGGCTAGGATGATACGAGCTCTAAGCTCTCTCTCTCTCTTTTCTCCGGAACAATGGAGACCCCTCCTTCTTCTGCCCCCCTATGCGTCCCCCTAGGCCGCGGCCGAGGAGGCCGGCCTCGGGCCTGAGGCCAACGCCACGCGGCCAAGTTTTTTTGCCGCCGCACCACAGTCAGGGGGCGCCGCAGCGGCGCGCGCGGGAAAAAGCCGCGTCCGCGCGACCTGCCCACGTCAGCCGCTGTCGGCCTGCAAAAAAAAAAATAATAATAATAAATTGGGGGGGTGGTTTTTGATGCGTGACACAAAAAAAAAAAAAAATAGAAAGAATTTTTTTTTGATTAATTGGTTTTTTATTGATTGATTGATTGGTGGGGGAGGGGTCCTCCCTCCCCTTCCCGACACATGCGCGCGCACACCACACACACACACACACACACACACACATGCACACAAACACACATCACACACACACACACACACGCGAGCACAAACACACACACACACACACA